TTTGAGTGTGAACGGGAAATTTTTCTTGATATATTTAACGAATGTGTCAATTTGAAATCCTTCTATTTTCATTGTTGTGAGTAATATGGTGGAATTAAAACATTAAAAAATTTTGCTCGTCAACTTACATATTTAAATATATCTGGTTTCAGAGTGAATGAGAAAATTTGACCCAAACTGTGAGATTGAGCTTTGTACACGAAGGCTTAAATATTTTAAATATTTCGATTTTGATCTATATTGTGTTTTCAGATAGATTAATCTTTTCTTTGTGCATAAAATATATGTTCATGAAGGTTGCTTGAATGAGGATACTAATTCGTTGTTTCATCTTAATGAATTGTTTGAAATAATGCAAAGAGCACGATGTGTATCTTTGTCGTCTAAAATCATATTATTTATAGGTTTTATCTATGTTTCCTTATACATTGAAGGATCATTCTCCTCCTTTCATTAGAAACAAAACTTTAATACAAGATCTAACTTCTTCATCCATAAAACCTGGGAACGTAAATAGATAAAGTTGCAGATGTGTTGTTATCACGCTCGATCTGTGGATTATCTAATGGTTTTTTAAATTTATAAATTTAACTATTAACTTCTTTTTTTTGTTTTTATCTATTTAATATTTCTTCATTTCTTGTCTGAACAAATAAATAATATATTACACTAAAAGTGGATTAAAAATATATGCTATATAATAGAATAAAATTAAATAAAAGGAGATAAAACTAAATGAAATGTTTTTCTTAACAAACAGGATAAGAAGAAATTAAATGAAATGAAATTTTACACAGATTTCTTTTTTGAAAAAGGAAAAATGAAATATGATTTTAGGTATAGATATTTAGTCCTTTACTTTGTTTAATATCGGTTTTTTAAATCGAATATTCAAATTAAGATGTCTGGGATATTTGTGTTAAGTCACATATAACATATTATAATTAGTATTCTTGAGTGTTCTCTGTGATTTGTCACGAAAAGGAAAAACAATGTTTAGAAAGTCAATTATTAATTCTTTTTTATATTTGTATGTTCAATGTCGCTAAATATATGTAACTTAATATGTTGTATGTACATATCATTAATACCTTTAGTGTTTTAATTTTTAATATATTTTGCTTGCACATAATTTAAAAAACCAAGCCTCCTGATCCTTTTGTTTATTCACAAAATGTACTTTCAATTGATTTTAAGTGCACATAAATAAAGTATATGACAAAATTGAATTTCTATATATTTATGAAAATATGGAAATTATCTATGAGAAATTACCCACATAATATAAAAGCGATAGCTAACTTTAGCTTGCATAAGGATTGGACCTGTATAATAAGTTGATTATATATAGCATACGAAATTTACTTATTCTATCACTAAACTTTAATTATATACTTATAGATATATAATTTTGGATAATTCAATTGTAGCACAAGAATTGAATTACAATGTTGTCTGATGTGATAATTCATTTTTTTCGTAGGTTTTATCTATGTTTTCTGATGAATTAAAGGATGAATCTTCTCCTTTCACTAGAATGCAAACTTTTGAATTAACATGTGATGCATCTTCCTCCTCTGCCATGCCTCAGGACGTAAAAAAATATTTATTTGGTGCATCTTGTTGATTTGATTTACATGGATGTGAAGGTAAGTTATACTAAAGTGTTTGTTTTTTAAATATAAAAACAATTATTTCTTTTTCTGAATATTATGATGTTTATTTTGATTATAGGAGAAAAATGGAAAAACTAATACCGTTGAAGATGAAATTGGATGTTGTATTTTTCTATGTTTTATAAGGAATTCATGTTTTTGTTTCTGAATAGAATAGTATTCCCGGTGATTATTCCTTGTTTCGTAGTCTTGATGTAAGGGATATATCATATATACTCAAGTTCTATCTTAAATGATAAATCTTTTTTATTTTACCTATAGTTCTATGTTCTTTTATAGGTTAAATATCTAAAACTTGTTGTGCTTTTTTTTTTATTATAAACTTTTACGTTAAAAATAATAATCCAAATGAATTTTTGTACTCCAATCTTAAAATAACTCCATAAGTTAAATTGTTAGTCACATTAATATTTAAAAATTTACTTAAATAAATGGAGATGATGTCTTATTCCAGTTATAGTTTCGTTTTTTAAGCATAATATTAACTTATCCTTATCTATTTCTTCTGAACATATTTAAATTTAAATAACATTTAAAATATATGATCTCATATTTAAAATATAACAAAACCAAAATATACAAATTTTGTTATTTTTTTATAAAATAAGTCAAATGTTACATTAATCAATTAAGATTATCCAATGAGACAAATCTTCCTACCCATACATCTATTTGATTATCTGAGTGTTATAGAATAATTTATAGACTGAAGTTTGTTACATTAATAAATAAGAAGTTACTTAAATAAAAAGAGATAATGTATATCTTATTCAAGAGAGTGTGGTTTCCTTTTCTTCAAACATAATATTAACTTGTCCTTAACTATTTCTTATGAACAAATTTAAATTTGAATAGCATCTAAAATATATGACATAATAAACATGTTTTTATAATTTTTTTATTCACATAAAAAACATTGTAAATGAAATTTATAAAAAAAATAATTAGAAGATAAAATATAATAGAGTGAATTGAAATAAAAAAAATAAGATGATACAAAGAATAATAACATTATTTTAACAGAATGACCTGGGAGAGAATGAAATATAATACTTTAGAAATATGTATTTGAGAAGGTTGAGAGTACAGAAAGAAAAGAGTTCAAAATAATGAACAGAAAAAAATTCTACATCAAAGATTCTTCGAACACGATAATTATTTGATGAAATTATTTTATTCATGAGATAATTTCACCAATGTTTTCAATATTAGTTTAGAGTGTCAGGATAAGGTTGATAATGGACATTTCAACGGTGAATATGCAAACTTTTAAGTTAGATGTATTTTTCTATATTTTATAAAGAATTTATGTTTTTCTTTGCCAATAGAATTAGAAGTCCATTTATCGGTTCATTGTCTAATGTAGATGTCATCCATATAATAATAAGTCTATTAGTTTTGTACACTAGTTGTCAGAGACGAACCTTTTCTATTTTACCTATAGTTTTATTTTCTTTTATAAGAAAAATAACTATAACTTGTTGTGAGTTTTTTTTTATTGCAAAATTTTACATTAAAAGTAATAATCCAAATGAAATACATTAATATATAAAAATTTGCGTAATAAATGGAGATAGTGTCTTATTCAAAACATAGTTTCGTTTCTTTAAAGGTAATATTAACTTATATGCTTTACTATTTCTTTTACACACATTTATATTTTAATAACATCTAAAGTATATCAACTCATATTTAAAATATAACATAAGTAATAGATAATGTTCATATGTAAACGGAACAAACATAAGATACAAATTTGGTTATTTTTTATAAATTAAATCAAATATTACATTAATCAAATGAGATTATCTAATCAGACAAAACTTCGTGTCCATAATTAATATTAGAGGTGATAAATATCAATTGAATTGTACTAAATAGTTAATAAATATTAAATTAAAAAATAGTTTGTCTTAACTGAATTGATATTAACTAAATTAATTTTTGTTTGAATAAACTAAACTAAACTAAACTATTATTCAAACTTAAAATAATTCCATAAATTAACTAACTACGTAGTTAATCATGATTAGTTAATTAATTGTGATTAATTAATCATGATTAATTGGTTAATCATAGTTACTTAATCATGATTAATTAATTATAGTCAGTTAACCATAGTTAGTTAAATATGATCAAGTAACTACATTTAGTTAATCATGATTAGTTGGTTAGCTAACTGTGATTAGTTAGTTGTGATTAATTAACTGTTTTAGTTAAGTGTTGTTAGTTAACTGTTATTAGTTAAATATAGTTAGTTAACCATGATTAGTTAACTGTGATTTATTAGTTAACTATGGTTAGTTAACTAATTAATTAATTGTATTTAGTTAATTATGATTTATTAACTATTAGTTGATGGACCTAAAATGATAGAAATAGTTAGGTCTAAACTTAAGTTTGAGCAGGTGAAAATGAACAAGAAACAACATGCTAAATAATATAAAGTATAATGATAAGCTCGTATAAGTTTAAGTGATTGTTCAAAGAAAAAAAGTTCTAATAAGATACCAACCTTCATATAAAGAACAACATCAACAATATGCTCCAATCTTACATTTTTTATGTAATAATATAAAATAATAAATAATTGTTAGTTCAACACTTATGTTTTAGGTTAATATTTATACAAGATCACATATTTAAATTAAGTATAAAAATTAATTAGTATGAACACAAGATAACAAAATAAATTATAAGTGAGTATTAAACAATATAAATAAATTTATAGATAAACAATGTAGATAAATTAAAGAATTTGACGGAATATTTTTGAATTTTAAATGAGTTCATGTTCATATAAATACAAGGGACGTAATTAAATAAAAAAAATGTAAACAGAGAAAGATAGGACAAATTTGTAATCTTCTTGTGACAGTATTTACCACAGAAGAAATTCTAGTGCATAGAAAAAGTAAAAGACCATTGGATATTGTGAGAGTATTTATTAGCAGTTAGGTTTAATGATTGAGAGATAGCCAATGGAAGGATTGCATAGGAAACTGGCAAACAAAACGCATGCAAATTTATATTATCACACTCTTCCTTATCTTTATTACTCTCACACACTCTTTTCACCTTCGTATTATATATATTGAAATTATTTATAACAATAACTTTTCATATTCACCATCTTCGTTACAGTTGCTTTGGATAAGAATTAACATCGGAATCATACTAAATTAAGATAATTACTTTTTATATAACACTTAATATCGTTGCTGAAAACATAATTATTAGAAGATAAAATATAATAAAGTAAATTTAAATAAAATTAAAATAATAGTAATTCTTGAAAAAAAAATGAAACATAATACTATAAATATAGGTATTTGAGAAGAGGGCCAAGAAAACTTTTCAGAAATGAAGGGAAACAATTTTTACAGAAGAGAGTCTTCAAAGGAAGAGAAAGAAAACAAGTAGAAAGATAAGGAGAAGGGAGAAGATATGTTAACTAAGTTACCTGATGAAATTATTGTACACATCCTTTCTTTTGTGGATGCAAAAACCGCAGTTCAAACATCAGTTTTGAACAAACGGTATAGGTATCTTTGGGCTTCCCTGCCCGTTATTAACTTCGATGGCTCATTGGATGAACCTACATTTTTTGAGCATTTTGTAGCAATGTTTTTGTCTTACAGAGATACTTCCATCAATATTGTCAAAGTTAATTTAGAGTGTCTATATAACCTTGATGCTGAATATTTGGTAGACACCATCGTAAATTACATCATTGAGCATGTTATTGATACACCATCCATCACCACTACCGTTGAGGTACTTACATTGGATGCTTATTGTTATTTGAGTGACCTTCCTAAACTCTCTGTATGTACATCTCTCACCACTCTCAAACTTTCTAACATATTAAGTGATACCGCAAATTTCGATATTCCATCTCTTAAACACCTATCCCTCTGTGATTGTCAATTTGTGTGTGAATTGGAAAACCCTTTTGATCCATTTAAGGGTTGTGTCAATTTGGAATCTTTATATTTTCATAGTTGTTCATACTCTGCTCAAATCAATACCTTCAAAATCTCTACCTCCCACCTTTCAGATTTAAATGTATCAGGTTTTACAGTGAATGGGATGTTTCAAGCTTGCTGTCTCTTTGAGCTTCAAACACCAAGGCTTCAATATTTCAAATATACTGGTTCTTATTTATATCGTTTTTCCACTGAGATTAATCTTCTCTTTGTGGAGAAAATATATATTGATATACGTTGTTTGGCTGAAGATACTAATTTGTTATATAGTTTGATTCGGCTATTTGAAATCATGCGAAGGGCAAAATCTATATCTTTGTCATCCGAAATCATTGAAGTAAGTATTTTTCTTTCTCAAATTATGATAATTTTAAAATATCATTTTAACACAATTATTGAATTACAATCTTGTCTGATGTGATAATTCATTTTTCTTCGTAGGTTTTATCTATGTTCTCTAATGAATTGGAGGATAAATGTTCTCCTTTTACGAGAATGGAAACTTTTGAGTTAATATCTGATGCATCTTCCTCCTCCGCCTTGCCTCAGGACGTTAAAGATTATTTATTTGGTGCATCTTGTTGATTTAATTTATATGGATGTGAAGGTAGGTAATATTAGAATTTTTTTTTAAATATTAAAACACACATATTTTTTTTTTCTGAATATTATGGTGTTTGTGTTAACTCTTTGGCAAGTGTACCAAATCGTTCTAAGTAATAAACTTGTAAGACCGGATATCGTATCCCAAGGAACTCGTTTGACACTTTACAATCGTATACTTATTTAACTAATTTAGACCGAAAAATATTCCCTTTTGATATGGTTTTAGTTCAAAGAAATTTAACTTCATATATACGTGATAAATTGAACATTTTGGGGACAAAACACTTGAAAGTGGATTAATGAAAGATGATACAATATGGAATGGAGATGTTGGAGAATGATTGTAATTATTATGCTCTCATGCAAATGCACATTACTACTACATTTAATTGGTCATGTCAACCTGCCTACAATACTCAAACTCAATCCTTTGATAGAGAGATTCTAGACTTACTCATTAAGTTCCAATCCCTTGGTAACCTAGAAATTACATCTGCATTAAGAATAGTGGTTTAAGACAACTAAAGGGCCAAGCTCTATCCCTAGAAACAATTTTCTTTAGGTGTTTATTCTAGTTTAAGGTTCACATAATACTTCCCAAGATCTGCATTAAGTTTTTATTTTTTTAAGTATAAAAACATACTCTTTTTTATCTCATTCTTTGTTTTTATTTTGGTTACAGGAGCAATATGGAAAAACCAATATCGTTGAAGATGTTTTCTTGGGGGGAAGTTAAACGGAATTAGATGTTATATTTCTCTAGGTTTTATAAAGATTTCATGTTTTTCTTTATGAATAGAATAGTCCAGGTGCATATTCCTTATTTTGTTGTCTTTATGTAAGGGATATATCATATATATTCAAGTTCTATCTTAAATGATAAATCTTTTTTATTTTACTATAGTTCTATGTTCTCTTATAAAAAAAATATCTAAAACTTGAGTTTTTTTTATTATAAACTTACATTTATAATATATCATCTCATTTTTTAAAATATAGCAAAATAATTAGATAATATTAAGATGTAAACAGAACCAATATATTCAAATTTTGTTTTTTTCTATAAAATAAGTCAAATGTTACGTTAATCAATTAAGACTATTTAATTGGACAAATCTTCCTACTCGAGCATCTATTTTATTATATATATTAGATGTGAGCAAAATTGATATAACTATATTGAATAGTTAAATGTTATATTGAACTAAAAAATAATTGTTTTGGAATTGAATTGAAAATTATTTCAAAGAAACTCGACTCTACTGATAGTTAGTTCTAATTAAACTAATTTTTATTCTAATAAATTAAACTGGACTTAATTATTATTCAAAAACTTTGAAAGAAATTAGTTATGTAAATAAGAAATATATAAATATATATATATATATATATATATATATATATATATATCCAAGAATATAAATTTTTCCATAAATAATAAATTTAAAAAATTGAGGACCCAAAGATTGAGATAAACAAAGACACTATTAAAACTCTGTCGCCGGGATGGCGTATCTTTTATGTTTCTTCACACTTTAAACACTTATTTTTAAGTGCATCATAGAAAGTATATGACTGAAATTAATTTCTGAGTGACTTACCAAAACTTAAAAATTGTCTATGATAAATTATCCAATAAATTTAGAAGCTATATATAATTTTAGCTTGCATAAGTACTGTACCTGTACCTGTATAATAAATTGGTTTAAACCCTTTATCCTTATTTATATGTGTATTTTACAATTTGATCACTTTCTTATTATAATCCCAAATTTCGTTAAATTTAGTTATCGTGTTAAGTTTTTGCACACGTAGAAGATTGATGTGTCAAAATTTTAAAACGTGGCATACTAAGAGTTGAATACGTGAAATTTAGCAATTTTTTAAATTTTAATAATATGAATTCCTGAAATGGGATTTAAGGTTCATAAAATAGGAAGAAGAAGCTACAGGTGGCAAAGAAGATGAAAGTCCTCATGGATCTGGGAAATTTAGAGCTGGAAAAGAACACGCGGTTGGAGAATCTTTTTGCCAGAGGAAGAAAGGAGATTGATATATGAGAAGAATCTAATAGACTTAGACTTTGCTGATATTCCCAGTAAAAACCCAAACAACATCCAGAGCACCACCGAGAATCTCCTCGCGCGATCTCCTTCTTTCACCTGAAACTGCCACTCTCCCTAAAATTGCGAGTATTCTCCTCTATCACCGCCGCACAACTCAGAATCACATCAGCCTACATCGCGCCACCTTCACTTGCAGATCTAGAAAAGCTAGAAGCGTCGTAACCACCAAGAACTTCTTCTCCATAGATCGTGACGCAAACCCTGCAAGAAACCACTTCTCAGAATCGCGCCACCGCTTTCTTGTTCTTCGTCCTCCAGGGATTTCGAAACCTACAACGAAAGCAATGAACCAGAAATAGATTCCTTAGTGCGACCCAGTAGCAATGTCACGCCATCAGCAGGAACAATTTTCCCCAATTTGCTGAAATGCAATTGGGGTGGATTTGATCAACAACCACTTCTCATATCTACAACCACTTAATCTCCATCCCTTCGTCTCATCTACAACCACTTCTCAAATTTTTAATCTCATTCAATTTGATTCCCTAAATCCCATTTCAGAAATCCTAATATTATATTATTACATTTTTCCAAAATTCCACGCAGGCCTAAAACATGCCACGTTTCAACTCTCACCATGCCACGTCTTAAAAATTTGACACATCAATCTTCCACCTATGCAAAAACTTAACCTCGTTAACTAAATTTAACGGCAAGAGATCAATTGTCAATTGGAGATTCTAATAAGAAGGGAATATTAAGAAAAACCCACGTAAATAAGAACAACTAAAGGGTTTAAACCAATAAATTACAATTTTAGATATTTTAGTCACTCAATTGTTACTAATTGTACCCTTATAAGATATCTTCTTTTACTACTTCATATATTGTTAATATTATTATTATTTATTATTATTATTATTATCGTTGTTACATCCTATTCTCTAAAACACAAATATGTAATAGAAAGTTTCTTATGAAATTCTAATTAAAAAATATTATTTTGAAATTGTATTATATATATTATGGAAAACTTATTCCACAAGATTTCCTAAACAAGTAATATATGTAAGTTTGTAAGGTTCTTCTTTCTTTAATACTTGCATTAGCTTGTTTAAACTTAAGGTTGTTAATAAGTACTTATATCAGTAAGTTAAATGGATCAAAAGGGTTCTCCCATTCACACACAAATTAACAATCACAGAGATAAAAGTGTTTAAGAAAAGGAATATCGAAATTTGTGGTATGACTGAATATGTAACGAAGTGTGAGAGTAGTGAGAGTTTAGGAAGGTCACTAACACCAAATTCAGCAAGGATAGTAAGTACCTGAATGGTAGTGGTAATGGATGGTGTATCAATAACATGCTCAATGATGGAATCCATCACATGTCCATCAGCAAGGCCATTATCTAGTCAAATACCTATTTTGATAAAAATAATTATAAGATGAAATATTTTTACATTCATTTTACAGACAATACAAAAGTAAAATGATTACAAAAGAGTTAACTTTTTCATTTTTTTTAAATGTAAGAAATTAAAAAAAAGATAATATCAAATAAACTTAAAAAATTTATGTATCAAAGTATATTTTTTATTTTTATAGTATTATGTTTCATTTTTTTCAAGTCTTTCTGTTAAGAAAACATTACTCGATATATTATTTGCTTTATTTTATTTTTTATTTAAATTCACTAAATTATATTTTATCTTCTATTTATTATTTTTTCTAAATTTTTTTATAATGCTTATTATATGATTAAAAATGATAAAAATATGTTTATTATTTGATCAAGAAGTGGTCAAAATATTTAACAATGAGATAAAATGAACAATTACTCGCTCATTTTTGGAATATTTAGATAGTGTATATATATTGTGCCAATGACAGGAAAAAACTAAAACTTGGTTATTAATTCAGAGGATTATGTAGCAGTGAACTCATTTGATTGATTATGGTTAGTTGATTAGTTTTTTACTCTCATCTCAAAATCTCATTTTAAAAAAATAAGAAAATAGAATTTAATAGTGCAGTTAATTTTAGTAATCTTATGAAGTTTTTTGTGATTTTCAGCAATGATATTAAGTGTTATACAAAAAGTAATTATCTTTATTTATTAGGATTCCGATGCTAATTCTTATCCAAGCAATATTGTAAAAAAGATGGTGAATATGAAAAGATAATATAAATAATTTCAATATATATAATAAGAAGGTGAAATAGACTAGTGTGTGAGAGTAATAAAGATAAGGAAGAGTGTGATAATATAAATTTGCATGCGTTTTGTTTGGCATTGTGATAAATACTGTCAGAAAATCCAACGATTGAGTCCCTAATATTTGAGAAACAGTATTATGATACACTTTTTACATTCAATGGATATAGAGTACAAGAATAAAAGATTACAAAAGTGTAAAATTTTGTATTAAAAAAAAGTAAAAAATAAAAAAGATAATATTAAATTAATGTAAAAAATTTAAGTGTATCAATTAATATTTTTTTTAATATTTGCATGCGTTTTGTTTGGCAGTTGCCTATGTAGTCCTTCCATTGCTTATCTCTTAATCACTCAACCTAAGTGCTAATAAATACTCTCACAATAAGATAACAAATTTGTCCATTAGGTTTCTCTGTTTACATTTTTTTTATTTAATTACGTCCGTTGTACTCTCAACCTTGGAATACATAAAAAAAGTGGAAGATGTTTGGATATTGTGAGAGTATTTATTAGCATTTAGGTTTAATGATTGAGAGATAACCAACCAAATGGAAGGACTGCATGGGAAACTGCCAAACAAAACGCATGCAAATATTAGAGACTCAATCGTTGGATATTCTAATAGTATTTATCATACAACAAATTATAGTGCATACACATCTCCCAAACAAAACGCATGCAAATTTATATTATCACACTCTTCCTTATTTTTATTACTCTCACACACTCTTTTTCACCTTATTATTGTATAATATTAACTTTTCATATTCACCATCTTCGTTACAGTATTGCTTGGATAAGAATTCGCATCGGAATTCTACTAAAATTACTTTTTATATAACACTTAATATCATTGCTGAAAAATTAATAATTAGAAGATAAAATATAATAAAGTGAATTTAAATAAAATTAAAATAATACAAATGATAGTAATTCTTGAAAAAAAATGAAAAATAATACTATAAATATAGGTAATTGAGAAGGCCGAGAATATGAATAGAAGAAAACTTTGCAGAAATGAAAGGAGACAATTTTTTCCAAAGAGACTCTTCAAAGAAAGAGGAAAAACATAAGGAGAAGAAAGAAGACATGTTAACTAAGTTACCTGAGGAAATTATTGTACACATTCTTTCTTTTGTGGATGCAAAAACCGCAGTTCAAACATCAGTTCTCAACAAACGGTGTAGGTATCTCTGGGCTTTCCTTCCCGTTATTAACTTGGATGACTCATCATTCCAAGATGCTATGTCATTTGAGGTTTTTTTAGATAAGTTTTTGTCTTGCAGACATACTTCCACCAATGTTTTTAATGTTAATGTAGATTGTCATAATGTCCTTGATAATGATCTTGTGGTAGATTCTATCATTGATCATGTTACTGATACACAATCCATCACCACTACCATTGATGTACTTACAATCCTTGCTGGGTGTGATGTGAGCAACCTTCCTAAACTCTCTGTATGTACATCTCTCACTACTCTCAAACTTTCTTACATATGCAGTGAGATCACAAATTTCGATCTTCCTTCTCTTAACCACCTATACCTCTATGGTTGTGAATTTGAGTGTGAATCGGAAAGCCCTTTTGATCCATTTAAGGGTTGTGTCAATTTGGAATCTCTATATTTGGTTAGTTCTACATATTATGGTGAATTCAATACCTTCAAAATCTCTGCCTCCCACCTTGTAGACTTAAATATATCAGATTGTAGAGTGTCTGGAAAGTTTCTAGGTGACTGTGTCATTGAGCTTCAAACACCAAGGCTTCAATATTTTAAATATACTGGTTTTTATCATTTATATTCTTTTTCTACTGAGGTTAATCTTCTCTTTGTGGAGAAAATATATATCGATGTAGGGTGCTTTGGTAAAAGTTCTGTTTCCTTATTTTCTACTTTGGTTGAGCTATTTGAAATCATGAAAAGGGCGAAATCTATATCTCTGTCATTAAAAATCATTCGAGTAAGTATTTTTCTTTTGTCAAATTATTGTTCTTTACAATATCAGTGTAGCACAAGTATAGGATTACAATTAAGTCTGATATGATAATTCATTTTCTTTTTGTAGGTTTTATCTATATTTTCTGATGAATTAGAGGATAAATGTTCTCCTTTCACTAGAATGCAGACTTTTGATTTAATTTGTGATACATCTTCCTCTTCTGGCATGCCTCAGGAAGTAAAAGATTATTTATTTGGTTCAACTTGTTGATTTAATTTACATGGATGTGAAGGTAAGTTATACTAAAAAATTTTATTTTTTTAGATATTATAACACACTTCTTTCTTTTTTTTGAATATAATTCCGTTTGTTTTGTTTTCAGGAGCAAAATGGAAAAACCAATATGTTTTAAGATGTTTGTTTTTGCGGAAAAGTTAAACGGTGGAATTAGATTTTTTATTTGTCTAGGTTTTATAAAGAATTCATGTTTTTCTTTATGAATTGAATTGTATTTCCGGTTGTTATTCCTTATTTTGTAGTCTTGATGTAAGGGATATATCATATTTATTCAGGTTCCATCTTAAATGATAAATCTTATTTGTTTTACCTATAGTTCTATGTTCTTTTATTATGGGTTTTTTATTATTATAAAATTTTACGCTAAAAATAATAATCCAAAATTAATTTATGAACTCCAATTTAAAATAACTCCATATATTAAATTTTTATTCACATTAGTATAAGTAAATTTACTTAAATATATGTAGATGATGTTTTATTCAAGTCCAAGTTCTTTTTTTAAAGATAATATTTTTATACTTATCTAGTTGTTAATGATCCCAATAGTTTTGTAAATGTTATTAGTGTTGTTGGTGTAAAAAAAATAATACTAAGACCTTAATGAATCTCTTGGAAAGTTAAGACAGATTAATAACTAAAGGCTTTATTCAAAAATCTCAACATAAATTATTTTGACACCTTTGTCTTAAAAACTCTCTTTTGGAATGATGATTGAAAGAGGAAATTTATATAACTTAACTTCAAGAATGAATGTATTGTATCTGGAGAACACACTATTAAAATTTTTACCTAGTTGAAAGAAGCACTAAAATGATAATATGATAAACTTTATATCGTTATGTGATGATTTTCAATAAGATATTGGCAAATGTGTCTACTCTAAATATGAAATTGATATTTGTGTCATTTTATGTGGATAACATGTTAATTTATTTACATGTAATGAAATTAAATTGTTTGTAGGATTAAAATTTAAAATGAAAAACCGAGATGAAATTAATGTAATATATTACTTTTCCAAGAAATTAAATTAGAAAATTTCTTAAAAAGTTTTAGTATTGTACTTTTAAATAAATAAGTATATCTTATGATGCTAGGAGTTCTAATTAATGAGTTATATCTTATGAAACTTATGATATTTTTTTCAATGTCTTTCGTTAACTTATTTTATCTTTTATAATAGTAAGACCACAAGTTTTTTATATTTTGGTTTTCTTAATATCGGGTTTTTAAATCGAATATTCAAATTAAGATGTCTGAGATATTTGTGTTAAGTCACATATAACATACTATAAGTAGTATTCTTGAGTGTTCTCTGTGATTTGTCACTAAAAGGAAAAATAATGTTTAGAAAGTCAATTATTAATTTTTTTTATATATATTTGTACCTTCAATATCGCTAAATATATGTAACTTAATATGTTGTATGTACATATCATTAATACCTTTAGTGTTTTAATTTTTAATATATTTTGCTTGCACATAATTTAAAAGACCAAGCCTCCTGATCCTTTTGTTTCTTCACAAAATGTACTTTCAATTGATTTTAAGTGCACATAAATTAAGTATATGACAAAATTGAATTTCTGTCATATATTTATGAAAATATGGAAATTATCTATGAGAAATTACCCACATAATATAAAAGCGATAGCTAACTTTAGCTTGCATAAGGACTGTACCTGTATATATAAGTTGGTTATATATAGCATACGAAATTTACTTATTCTATCACTAAACTTTAATTATATACTTATGTAGATATATAATTTTGGATAATTCATATTCTTTATTTTACTTTTGAATTTTTAATATCGAGACGTTGTTAAATTATTCAAATATCAAACTAATCTAAGTATCAAAATATGTTTAGCATTTACTTTCAATCGGAGTGGGTGAAGCATATGACAAGCAAAGAAAAGAGTTAAGAAGTAAAAAAAATAATTTAAAGTTAACAATTTATCTCATACACATGAAACAATTTATAATATTGCAATACATAACTTAGAAATTATAAAATATTGAAATTAAAAATTCATTCTTAAAATATTTTCATCAATAATTTTATTTTATCCTATAATTTTATCACTTCTTATTTTCGTAATAAACAATATAAGATCATCTAGAGAAAAATAAATTAGAATACAAAATATAATAAATGAATTTAAATTATGCAAAATTTAAATAAGAAACTAGGGAAACTATACAAATAATATATATATATATATATATATATATATATATATATATATATAAATTAGAGCCACTTGAAAAAGAGTGAAAAATCTGAATTATAAAAAAAAAAATATTAGACAAATTCGATGCCAAAAATAAAAATAAGTTCAAATAAATGAACGAGAAAATATCTCACTCTACAATAGAGAAACCTCATACTTAAGCAAAATAAAGAGAAAGATAAAATTAAAAGAGTGATAGATAGAATGAAGACGACATACATGATAAGTTACATAATAAAATTATTTATCCTATACTATTATGAAACTTTGTTACGTATAACCCAATTTTGTTTTTTCTTGTATTAAATACATGAACCTTTTTGGTTGTTGATTTAAGTGTGGACTTAAAAAATTTCTTTAACTCATTTAAGGATTGGGTCTATTTAAAATATTTGTATCTTCATAATTATCAATACAATTTCGAAATCAAGAGATTCAAATCCTCTACTTTAAGTGTATTATTAGGTTTTAAAATGGATGAGATTTTTTATGCTGACGGTATTGTTGAGCTTCATACACTAATATCTTTTAAATATTTTGACATTCATTTGTATTATTTTTTCAGTTAAACGTTAAACTTAATCTATGGAGGTCACATATTATGATATTCATTTGTATTATTTTCAGTTAAATATTTTGATATTCATTTGTATTATTAGGATATTTTTATATATACCAAAATTATAGTTTTTAATTTATTAGTTCTATTTTCTGTTCAATTTAACCACAATATTTTATATTTAAAAGTGTAACACAATGATTATTTGACACTTAACGGTAAGTGATGTGTGCAGCAGAACATTATGATACCGTTATACTATGTTCTAAAATAAATATTAAAGTAAAATATAAATATTAAACCGACATTATCTTATTTTATCTAAACAACAGTATCTGTGTCTGTCTGCAGAGTAAGAGAAACCATGGAACTCTGCACTCGAACCTTTACAAGTTTTCTTCTTCCCAGTTCGTTTCTCTCTTCAAACAAAATTCTTCTCCTTGCTAATGCCAACTCTTCAGTCTTCAAATTCAATTCCCTTAAACTTTTTGCACCTCATGATCATCTCTTTCAACCCTTTATCTCTCGTTACAATTCTTTCTCTTCCCCCTTCACAGTCTCAGCTGCTTCTTCCTCTTCCTCAGTCGCAGTTGGCACAGAACAGGACCGTCTTCCAGCAGAACTGAAGGTTACAGAAACAGAGCAACTCAAATCCACTGTATGATCTTCTCTTTTATCCATCTTTTCCATTCTTGTGTTGCATCCTTTAGAGTGGGTAAACTTCTCATGGCTACTTTCATAAGTTTTATTGTAAGCTTTATTTGGAAATTTATTAGATGTTCAATTTAACAAGCAATTTGCACTTCAGAATTTGTCGTTTACTTTATAATTTATAATGGGTAATAGTAATTGTAAAATCTCCACAATTAGGACATTTTAGAAGAAAGATAGAGTTAAGTGTTACTGGTTTATTTTCTCCTTTAAGTTAATGTATTTTGTACTCATTACAGATATGTCATATGTCTAATATGTATGTGTGTGTGTATATACATAATTTACCTTAAAAGTTATAGTCAAAATAGAGTGTTTATTCAGTGGCTTTATAGTCAAACTTGAGTGTTTATTCAAAGTCTTGCATAGGGGTATGGGGGATATGTTAAAGTGAATTTGGATCCTCTCCAGTTGATTGATAACATCATTCAAATATAATTAATTGGTCTCTACCAATTATTTGATAAAATATTTGTATATTTTTCACTTCAACATGAGCATATTTTGTTACATAAAGAAGAGGGGGTTATATTTGATTCTAAATTTATGCAAGCATCATTAAACCTTAGATAATGGTAATCATATCTCTTTGTCCAGAGTACATATCACTGAACATTTACTTCTGTATTTCTTTCCCTTTGCAGGTTAAATTGCATGTGGAGGTTCCACCATTGGTATGTGAGGATTGTTACAAAAGGGTCATAGCAGAGTTTATGAAGCAAGCAAAGGTGATATCGGGTTACTTATGCTTTATATAGCAATTCAACAAAATGTTATCTGGCTCAAAGAAGATATACGCTGCAAATTATTGTTCGCAAATATAGTGCAATTTATTTGTATGCCAAAGGAGATTTTCCTTTTCTAACTTCTAGGTTCTAAATTTGAAACTATTACTATGATCTCTCTGGTCTGTGTTGTTTCTCATAGAAAATTCATTGTTACTAAACTTCACAATCTTACGGCCTTGGTTCTATCTTATCATATAATAATTTACTGCATCATCATATATCATAAATAGTTTGCTTGAGATTGTCACGGATCCAGGTTTCAGAGGATGGTATGTTGTCTTGAAAGCTAATTTAGCATGGTTTTAAATACAGGTCCCTGGATTTCGTCCGGGAAAGAAAGTTCCAGAAGAGATTCTTATTGGTTATGTTGGGAGACAAAATGTCCAGAAGGCTACTATTGAATCTATTTTAAGAAGGACACTTTCACATGCTATGACATCGGTATGTTGTGATATAGTTTCTATTTTCTTATTTTTTATATCCTTACTTTATCTCTTCATGATAGTGTATTAAACTATTTTAGATTAATTGTGTTTTTATTTGCAATTATATCTGTTATTTTCATAACTACAAAGCAGTCATATCCATCACAAACCTCATTGAAATCTTCATTCTTGAAAGACAAGCTTATCCGTTCATGCACATTGCAGAAGCATAAACTTACCATTGACCTTTCCTCATTACCCAAGTCTATTTAATAGTGTTAGCACATTGATTTAAACTGTGCGAATAATATTGTCTTTGATATGAGGACTTGATACTGATAAACAGATTAAAAATTTCTTTATATTTTTCTGATCTTTTGTTTGATGTTATTACTGAATAAAGTACATCATTAGATCAACTATCATTCTGATCTTACACTTAGGCCTTTGATAATTAATTTTGTTTATAGGTTACTGGGAGGGCTTTGCAGGACTCAGTACGCATAGTTACTAAGTTTTCTGAGATGGAGGAGACATATTCTTCTCTTGGGTCTCTTAGGTAACCTATAAGTTAAACATTTTTTAATATATTTACCATTAGACTTGTTATTTTCCTTTTCCTTTGCTGCATCTTTAATACTAAAACTATCTTCTCTCATAACATAGAGAAAAGGAAGATTGTGAGAGTTCAGATTCTCTGCTGGGTTTTTTGGTGTTGTTTTCTATTGTACCTTCAAAATACACTGATGTTGGTACTTTAAAAATCTTTTTAATATGTTTTAAAACATCAAAATCAGTGCACATCAGTGTATTTTGAAGGCACATCAGAGGAACAACATAAAAATCCACCGGAGAATTCAAATTTAGATTATCATTAAGAATGATAATATAGTCAGCCAATAACTATACATGCAATTATATTAATTATTCTCACTGATTCCACTTTTCCAGATATGATGTGATTGTTGATGTTGCACCAGAAATCAAATGGATTCCTGATAATAATGCATACAAAAATTTAAAGATTGTTGTTGAGATAGACAGTGATATAGATGCTCAAATAGCATCTGAACAAGAATTTAAAAGGCGTTACAAGTCCATTGGTGCACTGAAAGTGGTTACTGATAGAGGGTTACAGGTGATTAAATTTAATTTATTCCAGTCTGCTAATATTTATTTTTTCCTTTTAAAATCATTATTTACTAGAAAAGCTGTTTAATTGGAACTTCTAGGAATCATTTTTTTGATAGAACTTCTAAGTTCTCTAAGGCAAGCATTAACAAACTATAGGGATTTTGTCGTGGGTGTTTTATATTTAGTCACGACTGATACAATGAAGTTTTTTATGCTAATTTTTTATCTTTACTATGTCATGCTAAAAAATAACAGTTATAAAACATTTTTTTTCTGTGTTATCTATTAATATTATCTTAATAATAAATATTTGTATTAATTGATATTGACTATATCAAAAACTCTGCTACAAAATATTTTTTTTTGCTGTCCACAGGTGGGTGATATTGCTGTTCTTGACATCTCAGCAACAACCATTGATCAAGATGAATCAAATGTTAAAACTATTCCTTCAGCTGAAAGTAAAGGTCTGGTGTTGTGCTTGAAGGATGATAACTAATGGATAAGTGATGGAAGTCTTTGCTTTCTGTAATAGATCATGTAGATTTTTCCTCTAAACTTATATTAGTTATGCAGGCTTTAATTTTGATACAGAGGACGGAGACAAGGTATTACCAGGTTTCCTTGATTCAATAATTGGAATTCAACGAGGTGAATCAAAGTCTTTTCCTCTTGTATTTCCTGAAACATGGAACCAGGAAAATCTTCGAGGTGTTCATGCTCAGTTTAATGTAAGTTTCTAGTGCTGAATAAAAGAGTTTAAGTTTTAGGAACATGAACTGGCATGGTTGTTTTTTCTTTTGGTCCTCTTGATACCAAATTCTTCACAATAATTACTTTTTGGCCATATGTCTCATACGCTTTATGGCACTTTTTCATCTCCAGCCGATTGTGATTACCATCTTTTATCTTTGCATTTACCTTTCTTGCTCAACTTGTGTAATTGTTGGCCCCCACAAAGGCAGTTTTACTGACTTGTTGCTTTCCATGTGAGGGGTTTGTTTGTCCCTCTGCTGAATTCAACTATACTTCCTCTCAAAGGGATTTAAACTTTTCCTATATAGTGTATACAGTGCTCATTCCATTTTCATGGGTACACACATTTTGCTTCAAAGTGCATGTTTAGCATCTCATATTTGCTTGTTGTAGATTGCTTAAAAACCTCTTTGGCTGCATATACTGATCATGCTTATTAAAACTCTCTTTCATTCATAACAGGTTGAATGCAAAGAACTTTTTTACAGAGATTTGCCAGAACTGGATGATTCTATTGCTGATAAGCTTCTCCCTGGATGCAGCACAGTGGAGCAGGTGACCTTTTTACCCATACTATGATTGTTAACTGAAATGAGGAATTTTGTTGAGTTGAAAACAGAGTAAAATTCTCTAGCATGAATTGTCAGGTCAAAGACTTATTGTTACAGAGATGCCTAGAGGTGGAGCAAACAGCTCGAGAACAAGCAACTGATAATGCTATCTTAGATCAGATTTCTAAGGTAATATTACATTAGATTGATTTTGTCTTATCTCCTAGGTTATTACCATGTACCTTGCACGTGTTTTCTATGTGTGCATAATGAAGCACACTTGCATCTAACATGGATATACCGAGTAATCATCATCATCTTCATTATTTTTGGTAGACATCCATTTTAGAATTTGGATTTAAAGTCCAATTCAATCTCATAAACTTGTAAAGTGAAATTCAAGCTTTATTAGCTCTATTGAAATTGCCTTTCTAGTTGATGTAGGATTAAACACCACCTTTAAGACTGAAATTATTTAAAGGTTAGGACTGTATTTAATTTATGGAGCCAACCTATTAGAAATACAGGTATTGATTGCATGATGCGTCATTTTCAGGCCAATCTTTTTACATTTTTATTCACAGTTTAATGGGAAGACAAACAAACTCTGATCTCTCTCAGGCAAAAATGAAACTAAGTGAGCAACAACTGGCATCTCTCTCAAGTCCAAAGGCTGTGAACCAATATCTTGAGCATCAGAAGGAAAATATAACAAATTTGATAAAACAGAATCTGGCAGTGGGTGATATATATAGGCGTGAAAATCTGCAGGTAGCATGTTTGCTTAAGATGTGTCCATTATATACATATTTGTTCAGGTCATGCTGACAACAAATTCTTTCTCCTTGTCAAAATATGGAACAAGTGGACCAATTCTCAGTGATCTGTCTAAGTATAAAGGTCACTTTTGCTTATAAAAATGATTTGTGCATTTGTGTGTTTTGTAGTTTGCTACCGAGGATCTCGTCAAAGAGGTTGAGAATTCCATTGCTGAATTCAAACGTCAAAATCAAGAATATGATGAGGAACGGGTGAAGGATCAGGTTTGCATCATACTTCCTTGTTTATTTACTGTTGTTTATTGTTTTGGCTGCTTCATCGGTTCATGTATATATGTAGAACTACAGATATCTTGAACTGTTTTCAAAATGGTCCATGTAGGGATAGGACTTCATACTGCATACCATTTTGATTAACTATATTATATATGCATCACATTCTGNAGGGTCTTTGGCCTTCGGTAATGTCCACGATAATTTAAGTTCTCGAATTTGGTATTCGTTCCCATATACTCAGAATTTCCCCAATTTCCCTCCCCTTTCCTCGTCTCCAGCTCCCCTCTCCTTTCCTTCCCCATTGTGCTCGTGCCGTGAATTAACGGTTGCTCTAGTCTCCGTTGCTTGGTTGGTTCATTGACGGTGGTTTGGGGGTTGGGTGCTAGGTTCGGTGACGCTGCCTTGTGGGTTGTGGTGGTTGGTCGTTTGTGGCGATTTGGGGGTTCTGTAGCAGTGCTGTGGCGGTGTGGTGACAGTGCTGTGACAGTGTGACGACGGTGCTGTAGTGGCGTGACGACGGTGCTGTGGCGGCGTGACCAGGGCTTCCACTATCGCAAGGCGAGGCCAATGTAGGGGTCTGTGACGAGGTAAGAGGTGTGCTCTGAACTTGTGAATGAACTGTGTGAATGAACTGTGTGCAAATGTATAATGAAAACCCCTAATTCACTTCCATTCCAAATGAAAGACGTGTGCTCTGCATCAAATCAGAACATCTGAACCAAGCAGGGAAAATGAAACTTAGGTTTAGTTCAACAAAATGTGTTTTTTTCCCTTAATCTTTTTTGTTTTCATTGATAAATAGAAATGGGTAACTTCATTTTCTCTGTGATTCAAAACTAAGTATATTTTCTTGTAATATATATGAGATAGAATTTAACACATATAATCTAGTTTCTTAGGGGATAAGGAAGTTGTGTTCTGGTTTGGTAGATGATGTCAATGTAAGGTTGATCCAAAATTGCAGTGCTGAATTATTCTCTCCTAAAAACGAAAGAATGAGTGTAGATTGATTGACGATGCTGTGAAGATTGCATTTTTAACTTTAAGTTTGTTCTGGGAATCTGCCATAATTTTTTACTTTTTTTTTTCTTATTTAATTTATTCGTGCTGTTGGGATGGAGATGTGCCTAATCTCTCAGGTCCTGGAAATGAATGGTTAATCCCTTTCCACATGGTAGGCTTACTGGATCTGGCCTGAACCTTTTCTTCCTTAAAGACTACAGTTTTTCCCATTAGTGTCCAACTCCTTATTGGTATCATTTCAATTTTAATTTCTTGTTTTGTTTCTATATGGTTATATATTGCTTCTGCTTGTGTGCTTGTTGTAGATTGCTTAAAAACCTCTTTTGCTGCATATACTGATCATGCTTATTAAAACTCTCTTTCATTCATAACAGGTTGAATGCAAAGAACTTTTTTTACAGAGATTTGCCAGAACTGGATGATTCTATTGCTGATAAGCTTCTCCCTGGATGCAGCACAGTGGAGCAGGTGACCTTTTTACCCGTTCTATGATTGTTAACTGAAGTGAGGAATTTTGTTGAGTTGAAATCAGAGTAAAATTCTCTAGCATGAATTGTCAGGTCAAAGACTTATTGTTACAGAGATGCCTAGAGGTGGAGCAAACAGCTCGAGAACAAGCAACTGATAATGCTATCTTAGATCAGATTTCTAAGGTAATATTACATTAGATTGATTTTGTCTTATCTCCTAGGTTATTACCATGTACCTTGCACGTGTTTTCTATGTGTGCATAATGAAGCACACTTGCATCTAACATGGATATACCGAGTAATCATCATCATCTTCATTATTTTTGGTAGACATATCCATTTTAGAATTTGGATTTAAAGTCCAATTCAATCTCATAAACTTGTAAAGTGAAATTCAAGCTTTATTAGCTCTATTGAAATTGCCTTTCTAGTTGATGTAGGATTAAACACCACCTTTAAGACTGAAATTATTTAAAGGTTAGGACTGTGTTTAATTTAGCTAAATCATTATCAACAAGTTGATGAAATATCTGTGCAACTTATCATTTTCAGATGGTTGAAGTTGATATACCTCAATCCTTGTTTGAGGAACAAGGTAGGCAGCTTTATGGAGCCAACCTATTAGAAATACAGGTATTGATTGCATGATGCGTCATTTTCAGGCCAATCTTTTTACATTTTTATTCACAGTTTAATGGGAAGACAAACAAACTCTGATCTCTCTCAGGCAAAAATGAAACTAAGTGAGCAACAACTGGCATCTCTCTCAAGTCCAAAGGCTGTGAACCAATATCTTGAGCATCAGAAGGAAAATATAACAAATTTGATAAAACAGAATCTGGCAGTGGGTGATATATATAGGCGTGAAAATCTGCAGGTAGCATGTTTGCTTAAGATGTGTCCATTATATACATATTTGTTCAGGTCATGCTGACAACAAATTCTTTCTCCTTGTCAAAAAATGGAACAAGTGTACCAATTCTCAGTGATCTGTCTAAGTATAAAGGTCACTTTTGCTTATAAAAATGATTTGTGCATTTGTGTGTTTTGTAGTTTGCTACCGAGGATCTCGTCAAAGAGGTTGAGAATTCCATTGCTGAATTCAAACGTCAAAATCAAGAATATGATGAGGAACGGGTGAAGGATCAGGTTTGCATCATACTTCCTTGTTTATTTACTGTTGTTTATTGTTTTGGCTGCTTCATCGGTTCATGTATATATGCAGAACTACAAATATCTTGAACCGTTTTCAAAATGGTCCATGTAGGGATAGCACTTCATACTGCATACCATTTTGATTAAGTATATTATATACAATGTCTACACAATTGTAGGATAGGTTGCCTTTTCAAAACAGAAAAATTGTGCTTTGGGCCAAAGTCTCTTTCCTAATAGAACACATTGATTGATATGATCTTTTTGAACTTTCCTGTAGGTTCAAGAAATACTAGAAGGAGCTAAAGTGCTTGAATGGTTGAGAGAACATGCAGAGATTCAATACATAACTAGATGAGAGATGAACTCCAGCCAAAACCAATCAGGAAAAAGAAATTGCAGGTTTTGAAAGAATTTTGTTTCAGCGGATGTAAGTTAGGAGGAAAAAAAAAACTATTCTTGATTGAAATTTGAAGAAAGATTTTATGAATAAAAAATGTACTACAAGTTTGTAAATTGAGACTTTCACAATAAATTAATAATAGATAACACTAACAAAAAACAGTATTGAAAAACACCAATATATTTCTCATTAAAAATCCCTTTTAAATGTCAATGTTAAGCCCTAGAGGGAAAATAAGGAATGTATTGTCACATGCAAGGTAGCTACACTCTGTACTTAATATAGTTCAGCAGTTAACAAAAAAGTCTAAAAAAATTATTTACTAATCTACACCACTTGTTCCAACAGGTCTTCATCTACAGATATAACACCAATTGAAGCATGCTCTTATTAATTGTAGAGTGAACTTGTCATAAACGCCTTTCTTGCAATATATGTCCGAGTTTTGCATAGAGAGCCAGCTGCTCCTCTGAACCAAGGTTCCTCAATATCTGCATAGAGAAAACATTGCAAATGATTTTACAACAAAACACTCTTATGGGCAAGGGACATAGTGAAATGTAATCTGTGTTTGAGTTAGATGTGTGCAACATTAGAACTGAAATGAAACAGAATCCTCTAGTTTTCACATTATTGAAATTTAACCAATAAAATGCTTAAACTAGAGTCGCACCTGGTCCAAAAGCATTTCTACTGAATAGTCTTCGACGACAACAAATGATTGATGGTAAATGTAGACAAAAACAGCCATTACCATCTGCAAAGGATGCATAACTTAGTATTAAACACAACATTCTCAACCCAGCAACTACCGAGATATTTGTTTACTTTATTGCATGTCATAGAAAGTACTACATGATTTATGGTAAAATTGAAAGTGCTTTAAATGGTCAAGTGCTAAGCACTATGTATCAATTGCACTTCGAAAAGTCAAGATTATGGAATATACTAGCTTATTTATAACAAAAGGGTAGAAATAAAATATAAGAAAATACCCAAATACTTAAAGCGTGAAGATAACCATCTATAATACTATAAAAAAACTGAAAATTATCCTAAATTAAGTAATAGACTATTCATATACATGCTAAGGATTATTATAGTATACAATTATCAATCTCAGAGCAAACCTGACAGTCCATTCTGTCTGTAAATCCACCGTGTCCCGGTATACTGTCACCAAAGTCCTGTAACCAATGAAAGATATCAATGTTGTTACTGTGTTTTTGGGAGTTTTGAAGAGAATGGAGTAAGGGTAATGATGGCAAAATAAATCTCTAGTATAAAGAGCAAGAACAGACTTTGATTTTAAAAGCTCTTTTGAAACCACTGGCAAAAAAACCTCCAAATGGTGCTATGATTGACGCAAATAGTCCCAACCACAAGGCATGCCACTGTACTGGCAAAACTGGTATCTCTTTCCAAGGAAGCTACAAAATGTTGCAAAATGAAAAACTCAATCTTTAAACTCTTAATTCATGAATAATAATACTAAATTGGCCAAATTATACTTTTTATTCTTCATTTTATTTTTAAGGTTGATTTCAATCCTTTTATCTTTCAAATTATTTATCTTTTAAATTTAGGCCGGTTTGATCTTTTCGAAATATTCATTGTTTCCCAACATGATATCTGTGAATTTGTAAATCACCATCATGAAACAATTTTCTCAGCAATAGTGAAAGCTTTTTATTTATTCTGATGTATGAAAAACTATTACCACAGCTCTGAATCTAGGACTAAGTGGTTTGTGCAGTTATATTGAAATTACTTGATTATTTCATATGCAAAATAAACCGATCCTGATAATAACAAAGATACAGAGAAATTTTATCAAAATTACTACACATTTATATCATCAAGCATCCAGAAAGTTAATAAATGTTTACTACATGCATGACAGTGTTAAATTCTTTTAGCAGCTGCTAAATCCCAGGATATCTTACCGAATGAGAAATCAGTCCTGGCAATGGAATGTACTCTGGCTTAAAAATTGGGTCAGGGTCACACTGAAGCCAACTAGTTGATAAGTCCTGAATTTATTTCACACAAGCATTAGGATCAACATAGATATTTCCTCCAAGATGATTGCACTCAATCAAGATTGTTACCTTCCTTGGACATGTTAGCCATTGGAAGCGACCCAAGAAGTAGGCAAACTGCATAAACACAGGTGACATCATCATGTAAATAAATTATACTGAAAAATATCATTAAATTAACTTAAAGGGGAGGTTGTGAGTCAAACACATGATATTAGAGAGTTCAGTTATAACTAAAATGTGAATTTTTAAAGTTTTCTGGGATGGTAGTTGGTTAATCCGTTCATACAAAGATCCAAAATTTCTTAACAAATGAGGCTGACACCTAGCGGCCTAGAGAATTTGGGACTCCCTTTCACAGGAATAGGAGCCTCAAAGAGGTTCAAACTCTGAAACATTAGGTTCAATTATACCATTGTTATGAAAAGGTCAACCCGATTATATAATGACCCAAAATTCCTTAACTAAACATTGTTATGAAAAGGTTAACTCGTTCATACAAGATCAAAATTCCTTAAGACTCTCCAGAATGAGGTCAGTTACTATGGACTAAAAGAATGAACTGAAGAAAAGCAGGATGTTACTAACTGATGCTTACTGTAAACGCAGCAATCATAGTGGCAACAGATGCTCCAATGAAACCTTCCCATGTTTTCTTTGGAGAAAGCTTGATCAGAGGTGTTCTCCCAAAATAGAAACCGAAGAAATATGCGCCAACGTCATTCATAGCAATTAGGGATGCAGGGAAAATAAACCTTTCATAATAATATTAACTAGTTAGATTGTAAGAAAAGTTTGAAGTATGGAAAACACAGTGACTAGCAATACCAAAGCAGTTACTGATATTAAAATCTCCTGTGAATTTCCATTGAATGAAGAAAAGTATGGATGACGCTTTTGTAGAAAAGTGAAACTCTTTAAGAGCAAAAAGATATGGACATGATATATAATATAACTTCCATGAATCATGATGCATGTTTATAAAGAGTCCTGTTATATTTCTGTTCCTTTCACCCTTTTCCTTCGTATTGAGAATCTTGGTACAAGTCAATCAAATCACTAATCTAATAGAAGCATCTTTAAATCTGATTATCTCCTTACTCAAGTTCAGAACATTAAATGCCTTTTTTGAAATATAGTTTTCCACAACCATATCCAGAAAAGAAAACACAGGATACATTATATTAAATGAAATTGCTAGGAACTATTTCTTGTTTATTGATTAAATGTATCCTTTTCTGTAAGTAACTGTGCTCAACAATTTTCTGATCAAATATAAATGAAACATAGAATCGTATTAGTAAACATGTTTTAAGTAAGATAAAAGAAGGATTTAGAAAATGGAGATTACATCAGCAAGTAATTCAGCAGAAGTCATGTTACCAGAATATTCCTTGAAATATGTTGGCTACAGTGAACGCAGACTGGGTAAACACAACAATGAGTATCATATGTGTCCATGCATACTGGCCAAACTGATACTTGTAATATCTTTTCTTCAATGAAAGAATAAACCATACAAAACCTGAAATCACAGAGGAAATGAACATACCACACAAAACCATACTGGAATGAAATATTGTTTTTTATATATTACAGCCCAACAAACTCTTGAACCTGCAAAAGACTAATAATAATATGATATCAGATAGCAAAATTAAGTTACTCAACAGGACCTGTAGATATATTGCTTGAATATATATAAAATTATCTGTGTCCTCTCTTACCATGGTTGACAATAATTGAGATAGGATAATCATGCATCAACATTCCTATGAATAAATTTGGTAGTACTAACCTGCAATATATAGGAAGTAACATATAACCATCTGATACTTGATCAGATTGCTCACAAGCCTATACAAGAATTTGTCCGAGGTCACAGTATTCACAAGTTGCTGACTGAGAATACGGCCATATACGAAAAGCATTGCTGTGAAGAAAAAGTGCCTGGACATTGCATTCGGAATCTTATCTTTGTGAAACACTATACATTAATCATTTCTGATAAACAGTTATCATTTAGAAACTACAGTAGCAGGCATGCTTACCAGTTCAAGAACTTAAACTTCGGGAGACGTCTATCTTGAGTTGCTCTTGTAAGTAGATTGAAGAGCTCACTGGCCATGAATATTTGGATAACAACAACCATGGCCCAGATGTAAAGATGACCTAAGTAAATGATAAGTGAGACACTAGCTAACATCCACAGAGATGAGTATGCACGAATCCACATTGATCTGTACTTAAATTTATCATCCACCAGTAAAATGTTTCCATTTGATTTGTTTATCTCTGCAGGAATCTAGCATAGAAAAAGCTAGCATCAGTTTCAAATTCTCCAAAATTAAATTTCTCATTTATACTTAAGTTAAAGTGAAGTCCGTTACTTCATCAACTACATGTAGATGTATCTTATACATATTTTAGCACAAGTTAAAGGGAAGTTCATATTCACTGTAATTACTTCATCAACTACATGAATCAAATGTTCTCAACTTGATATTTCTGTGTACCATTCTAAATTGACATAACAGGTCTTGCAGCAGCATAACTTCGTATTAAAACTTGAAATTTGAAGTAAACATTTCCCCAATCACAACAAGCAAACATGTTAATTCACTACACCAACCTCATTTGAGCGTCTCCTTTGCCTAAAACTCGGTGTTCTTGGCGAATTACAGTTATGATCCATTTGTGTATCTCTCCTTGGCGAAGTGATTGTTCAAATACTTTCGGAGTGGTATACATGCATGGACTGACACCTTCCTGAGACATTACATGGTAAAAAATTGTAAAAGCAAATGGAGATATCCCTAATAGGAATCCCAGAAATGTATCACTTTCATAATTTGCATAGTTCAATCCACAGCAAAAGAGATGGCCAAAAGAGTGCAAACAGATTGATTGTGATTAACAATAGTATTTAATGAGCAATGAAATTAGTTGACACTATGTACAAAATGATCTTGATGTATTGATGTGTCTGTCAACCGAATTTAAGAATGGTGTACCTAGTAGAGTGACCGTTGTTGATTCAAGATGTTTTGGAACAACATAAGCATGTGGGTAACATGTAACTGAAGTTACATAAAAATAGATCATTGATTGTCACACACAGAAATGGAATAACAACTCAGACAATAAAATAATAGAAATTGTACAAGAAAAAAGGAAAATGGAGGTGAAAAATTAAGAGTGCATACTTGGATTGAAGAGGTAGAAAATGAAAAAAGGGTGAACAGAGAATTGGGAAAAATTGACCATGAAGATTGAGGTGATGGTGTCAGATGTGGATTTGCTGTGTTTCAGGGAAACCATAATAACAGAAAGCATAGTAGGAGAGATAACTCGTTACGAGAGTTACGTAATGCTCCACATTCACCACTGATTAATCCAGGGTTAACTATAATATATCATTTTATATCAATTATAAAATTTTATATCTNTCTTGCAGCAGCATAACTTCGTATTAAAACTTGAAATTTGAAGTAAACATTTCCCCAATCACAACAAGCAAACATGTTAATTCACTACACCAACCTCATTTGAGCGTCTCCTTTGCCTAAAACTCGGTGTTCTTGGCGAATTACAGTTATGATCCATTTGTGTATCTCTCCTTGGCGAAGTGATTGTTCAAATACTTTCGGAGTGGTATACATGCATGGACTGACACCTTCCTGAGACATTACATGGTAAAAAATTGTAAAAGCAAATGGAGATATCCCTAATAGGAATCCCAGAAATGTATCACTTTCATAATTTGCATAGTTCAATCCACAGCAAAAGAGATGGCCAAAAGAGTGCAAACAGATTGATTGTGATTAACAATAGTATTTAATGAGCAATGAAATTAGTTGACACTATGTACAAAATGATCTTGATGTATTGATGTGTCTGTCAACCGAATTTAAGAATGGTGTACCTAGTAGAGTGACCGTTGTTGATTCAAGATGTTTTGGAACAACATAAGCATGTGGGTAACATGTAACTGAAGTTACATAAAAATAGATCATTGATTGTCACACACAGAAATGGAATAACAACTCAGACAATAAAATAATAGAAATTGTACAAGAAAAAAGGAAAATGGAGGTGAAAAATTAAGAGTGCATACTTGGATTGAAGAGGTAGAAAATGAAAAAAGGGTGAACAGAGAATTGGGAAAAATTGACCATGAAGATTGAGGTGATGGTGTCAGATGTGGATTTGCTGTGTTTCAGGGAAACCATAATAACAGAAAGCATAGTAGGAGAGATAACTCGTTACGAGAGTTACGTAATGCTCCACATTCACCACTGATTAATCCAGGGTTAACTATAATATATCATTTTATATCAATTATAAAATTTTATATCTTTTAATATATATATAAACAAATAATTAAGATGACGAACCAAGATTCACTTGAAAAATTTAATTAAAAATATCTAAATTTATAAAATTAAAAACATAAAATTAATTTAATTTTTTTTACATTAGAAATTAAACTCATGTTAAAAAAATTATAATAATTTCCATTAAACCAGTATGATCTCTTGCCAAAAAGAGAGATTCAACATCTTGCTGCAGGAATATACTAAGTACATAGCTTAAGCAATAATTAAATAAAATGTTTGTAACTAATAAACTGTTCTTCAAAAAATTCATTGTAAGTATAGTATTTATTTAGTTTCATAATATAATTAAGACCTTTCCAATGTGGTGATATTATATTAAATTTAAGATATAAAATCTTAAATAATATATAAGCTATAAGAATAAAAAAATTGTTGTTATCTTAAAACATATCTCTTTTCCTTAAAATGAATATTTTATAACTCTCGTATCAGACTAAAATTGTAAGGAGGTCTTAAAATAACCATGACAGCAAAAATCTTCATGTGAAAAATTTCTTAATTTGAACAAATTAGACAGTAATAGAAGCAACATTAATTCCATTCCTGGGGCAAAACAACAATGGTACAAGTGGCAAACCTAAGATTCGGGTCCACAATGACCGCACATTTAATCGTTAAGAAAGTTGGTATAATCTATGATGCGACAAGGGACAAAGTAGGTATCCTGTAATAGAGAACAACTTACAAAGATTTGTCCAATGGATAATGAAATTAATCATTAAACCACAAGTTTTAATATTGTCAGATCAACATGGTGGATTTTCTTTTCCCCAAAATTATTAAAATGAATAAATTTTATAAAAAAGTTATATTTGATTTCATTGAAAAAAAAATTGTGTTAAGATGTGAAAAAATTTGTTTATAGCGAAATCATGTCCCTGATACTATTTTTTTTTATAATAAAATTATATTAAATTAATATAATTTGTGAAAAAATGAATTTTAAACATTAAATATAATTAAAATAAATATTAAAAAGTAAATTTTAAACTTAACTCAATTTATAAAACCTATTAGTTCGTAAGATGAGATATGAATCACATATATATTTAAATTTGTCAGGTACTTTAAATTTATTTTATCTATAATTACTGCAGAACTTCTAATAAAACTTATTTACTTTTATATTTTTTATTACAAAAAATTATGTTAAATTGATAATTTTTATGAAATTAATTCAATTTCAATAATTTGTCTATTTTAATAATTTTTATTATAAAAAAATCATGTTAAATTGATATAATTTTTATGAAATCATACTAATTTTCACAATTTATCTATTTTCTTAAATTTTTATTATAGCTTTCTGCCTTTTGGGATGATTGGCAAATAATAATTGAAGTTAGAGAGGCATGTGAGTGGCTTTGAAATGGCGAATGTTAAGAAAATCGTGAGATTGTTCTGCGTAGGTCACATGTGGGATGGCCCAAACCCACATGTGTCTTCCTTTGTTGCGATGTTCAACCTCCATTTTCTGACACCGCATAACGTGTGTTGGAAAAAATCTGAAGCCACTATTCTGTGTATTAAGCAACAAGCATGAAGTTGTGCAATCTAAAGAATACAACATAAGTACAAAAAAAACTAAGTCTTTCATGGTCCCTCAAGCTTTTAATTCTCTTTCGTGTTACATAGTTGATGTGTACTTAGATATAGACACGATTTTACTGATTATTGTAACATAAATTAATGATTAAAAAAACTTATCAATAAGTATCTTACATTTACACCATAATGAAGACTGATGTTTCGTTTGAATGTATAATTAACTGTCGAATTTGACATACATGTCACAATAACAATTTAGATGATGATATTTTGAGATTGATTGAAAAATAACCATTTGAAAACTTAAAATAATAATAGTTTAATTAAATTCATTTTATTTTAAATTTCTATAACACATTTTATTAAAGTGAGTTACAAAATAAATGTACTTTTTCGAAAAAACATTGTTTTCCTAACAAATTTAATTAATTCATAACATACATCTTACTCAATTTAGTGACATTTGACATATACATTGAAATTGATGTCTTAGTAACTTAAAAATACATACACATTTAAGTTTTATTTTATTTTATTTCAAAAGACATTTTTCATCAAAAGTTATGCACGTTATTTGAACTATCAAATGATTATTTTTTAATCACTTTTACACATACATGCATAATGATTATTTTTTTTATCATTTTTACACATATATGCATACGATAAGTTATAAATGGTAATGTCTGTCGAGTTATATAAATTGATCTATTAACCAACTAAAAAACGAAGTAGGGAGAGATCAGTATATTTTAATTTATTGGCTTATTAAACCTATCCCACATAATCCTTAATTTGAGCAAATTAATGACAAGACGAATTATATTAGTCCACATAACCTCGCAATAAAGAAAACTAATTATTTTTTAATTTCTAAATTAGTTAATTTTATGTTTGAACTCGTACATCGTATCTCTTGTTTTCATTTAATATTATTGATTTTTGAATCCTTGACAAATACATTAATTGTCTTTTGCTTAAAATGTGGAAGCACGAATATTTTAGAATAGTAAAATCTTTTTAACAAATTCTATTTTTATTTTATTATTTATGAATATAAAAAGTTAATAAATGAAAGTTGTTTAAATTAAAAGCAAAAACATTTTAAATTGAAAAAAAAAAAAACTAAATTAAAACGAGAAAGGAAAAAGTACTTTATATAAAATATAAAATCCTTAATAAATGGAGGGATCCCCGTGAGACCTTAAAGAGTGACACAACTTTCATATCTTTTTGGGTTCATATTTAAGTTATTAGCTAACCGACCAACACACATTCAGAGGTTGGATGATACAAAAGCCACTAATTTATTAGTCCTTCTTTCTAACTAAAACTACTTATTTACACCTTTCATAAAAATACTTAACAACCTAACTTTCACTTTTACATCCGTACGTATGAAGTGAGGATTTTGAAGGCCACTCTTTATCTCATGTTGTCTAAAAAACAAGTAAAAGTAAGAATTATTGACATTTTTTCTACTACAATAATTTTATATATATGATCTAAGAATCGAAGTTAATTGTAATTTAAATATTTTTTTTCTATTTTTATTCTTTGAATCTTTTTTAAAAATAAAACTATAGATTAAAATTTAAAATATAATATTTCGAATGTACGAGATGTATCTTATGATATTACTTTATATTCATAGTATACAATAGTTTCACGTTACTTAAAAATTATAGAGACGATGTTAAATGTAGTTTAAATATCTTTTTTTCTTCAAAATGTTTTTTAAAAATATAATCAAGTTAAACATCATTCTAAAACAGATAATATCTTGAATATATGATTAACCTTAACGATGTTATTTAATAAACTTTAAATCAAAACAATTTGATTTTTATTTTTCAATATTTTGATAGTTTAATGATTTTATACCTTATAAGTTTCACATAAGCTAAATATGAACACAAATTTTACTTGTAAACTAATTTTATAAAATTAAATTATACTTAAATTTAATTTCTTAATAATAAAGTTGATTTAAAATTGTTTAAAACCTCAATAGTCGTAGGTGAGTGTTCCAAACCAACAGTGCTCATATAAATATAAGTGACCTGTTCTAACAACGTTAAGAAGAAATAATCACCTTCCATCCAACCTGGAGTGTTAAATTGGCTCATAATCAAATTATTGCTTAATCAAATCTCAAATCACTGGTTTTTACACAGGATAGTGTGGTTTTGCGGCCACATGCACCAATGACAGGAACATAATATATCAGAAGAAAAAAAAAAAAAAAAAGCTGAAACGTAGGGCACTCCAAAATGCAGGAGATAACAATGATATAATTATAATTAATGTAATAATGGAAGGAAAGCGATGATGAAATGAAAATGTTGTAATGTAGTGAGGTTGCAAAGGTTAATAATAATATTATGCAGTAAATGAAGAGAAATGAAAATGGGTTGGTTAAGAGTGATGGTGTCATTATTGATATGGACAGAGACTTGTTGGATTCGTGATGACAACCTATCCCTGACCGCGACCTTTCCCTTTGCCCATGTCTGGGGTTTTCACATCTTCTGCTTTTTCTCCCTACATTTTCTTTTTTTCAGAAAAAATGAGAACCTTCCCCATTTCTTCCTCCAAATTGCCCCTGCTCTTCGCTTTTATCACAATGGAACACTGAAAATAAACAAACTCCTCTTATAAAATCTATATCATTCACAAAGCCATAAATCTCACAATAATCATATCCACGTAACCTAATGCTTACCCACTCATAGAAATGTTAGAATATAATTAGTATCGTGACATTTAAGGTATGATCACCTGGTGAGCTAAAGATGAGGTGATCGACTATTTAGAGAGAAATGGCTTACTAGTCTGGTCATTGATTGATAATTAATCTAAACAATAACAATTATTGATGGAAAATTAATGATAATAATCGTGATTGATTAGAGATTACTAAGAATAATGAAAGTTATTTATCGATAATTAATGGGTCAGACCCAATGGTAAGTTGATTATAATATTTATAAATATACTTATGAATGGGAGGTGACTACTAATCTTTATTGCAATAGTCACTTATTTAAGCATCTGAGTGTGTTTGACAAGTATCCTCCTACACGTTTGGGACAAGGGGAGAGAGCGAACAATATAATTTGGATAATGGAGAACCATCAGTAAGTTCATTCAATCTTTAGAACAACTTTGAGTGTTTTATGTAAGAGATATCAACGTCTACTCGAAACAGGACGACTAGCGTTTATATGATTTTTTGAATTCGCTTTTATCACGTATTTGCCTCAAAAAAAATATCAAATTAGTCACCGTGAGATTACGACAAACGAATTTATATATATATATATATATATATATATATATATATATATATATATATATGACTTAGTCTCCATCAGAATCTGTAAAAGAATCACAATGGAACAGTAAAAACAAGCAAACTGCTCTTAAAAAAATGTATATCATGTTAGGTGTATTGAAGAGCAGATTCATATACAATACCAATGAGATTTGAGTCTAATGACCTAAGAAATTGATACCATTTTACCAAAAATCTTAAAGTAATAGGTTAATAAATCTTTAACATGTATGATACTCTATTTTCTCATTTATATTTAACGTAAGATTTAGATTCACACTTAACGTTCTAACATATTAAAAAAAAAACACAATTTATAACAATAATATATACACCTAACATTGTTAGAAATAAAAGATAAATATCAATTTATATACACATTAAATATTTTTGAACACAAATTTCTTAGGTGTATTATTTACAAATTTGTAAAATTAGGATCTCATTATTTGTTAATTTTTACTGTATGGTAAGAATCAAATGCATTTTATATTTTTCTACATGTAAAACGTATTTAAATTTCTTTAATTTTGCGATGACATAACTCATATTTTTATCACCGTGGTTTACTCGAGTTCAAAGTCTTGGACTAATAAATGCTCATACTATTACATTAACTTTCTTAAGTATGCTACAAGTAACAAGAAAATGTGATGGTTAATATTAAGAACAATTATGAACAGTGTTACCAAACACGTGAAAACAAGACAAAGATCGAGTCAAAGTCAAAGTTTTGATGCGCAGTTAAACTTGAAGAAACTGAGGAGTGTCATAATGGTAAATAAGATGAAGAGTGGGGGCTAGAAAGGAAACCAGACGGGAGACAATAGAGAGAGAGAGAGATAGTGTTTGTGTTGTGGGTCCATTTTCTTTTCCTACACCGTACTCTGTCTTTTGTTTTTCATCTTCTCTTCTAATTTCATGATCTACTCTAATCTTATTATTATATGCACACGCTACACAACAAAACCTCACTCTCTCTCTCACACACTCTTTCAGAACTCACTCACTCACTCATTCGCGTTCTGTTTCAGATCTGAAGCGACATAACCCTAAGCTTCAAGCGGTACGTATTCTTCTCTCTCGCCATCGTCTCTTGATCTCCGCATTCCCGAGATCTGCTTCTTTCTCATTCCTCTACATTCGATTCTTTCTCTCTCATCTTTCCTTTTCAATCTTTACATGTGACTTCACCCTCAGGTTCCCTTTCTTTCGTCATTTTCTTGTTACTTGCTGCTGATCGTTTGGTTAATTTAGCTTTCGTTTCGCCGAGACTTTCCATTATGTTGTTATCGTTAGCTTAATTAGCTTGCCCTGCATTGGATTATGGTATATCGCATGTGATGGATGGAACTTAATTTGTTTGGAGATTTTTTTCCGCACTTTTTTTTGCCTTAAAATAATGATGAACCATTATTATTTATTTTCTTAAAAAAGACAATTATTAATTATTGCTCTTATTTGCTTAGAACCTTTTTGGCTTATTTTTCTGAAGATCGCTTTTTTAATTCGTTAGTTTAACTTTTGGGATGGGTGATTCGGGTTACTGGAATTAACAGTTGACCGCAATGGATTGTGGGTTTGCATTTATCATGCTGCAGTTGCATTTGCTTTCTTCTACACAGCACATGTCTGTTTCTCTCTTGATCTTCGTAGAAGAGGTGTTTATCTCTCTTTGATGGGAGGTGAAAATATTTCTTGTGTAATTTTTTTAATTTTTTTTGGGTGCAGGCGGCTAGGTTGCTTTGGAACATCAATGGCAGTGACAGAGGCTCAAAATCCTCTTCTTGGGGAAAACACCTGTGGTTCCTTGTTAAAAAAGCTGCAGGTTACTATCTTCATTCAGATTTTCATTTTGGTCACTGAAATGAAAATGTGCACGGTCTGCAGAATAGTATTGGAGAATGTCTGGGAAAGATTAATTTTAAAGATTTCAGCTGTTTAAATTTCGGTTGTAAGTTTGGGACGGTGGCTAAAATTTGTAAAGAGCTTTTTCTCTAAAAAGTTAAGCTGATTTTACAAATTTGAAAAGTTGTAGCTCATGAATAAGGTAAAATATGTTTTTTTATCCTAAAATTCCTAAACTATTAAATACGTCCTCCAAAAGTTTTTCGTATTATTTTTGTTCCTTTAAAATTTAAACATATTCTTTTAGTTCTTGTGTGTAATCATAATAATAGATGGAAAACTTATGTGGATAACTATATTTTAGTTATATATTTATCAAAATTATTTTTAATGTTTCATATGTTAAAATTATCATTCACATAAGTCTGCTGTCTATTTTTGTTAGAAATAAAGACCTAAGAAATATATTTAAATTTTAGAAGGACGAAAATCATACGAAAAAATTGTATACGGGTTTAATATATTTGACGGGGATACCGAACACATTTTACTCTTACAAATATTTTCCAATAGTTTTTATTTTTGTTTCTCCTAGTTGGAATTGATTATTTTAAAACCCATTTTTTAGCAAACTTACCTAAATAGAAACTGTTTCTGTTTACAATTGATTTCGAAAACAATCGAATGTAAGTATAATTTAGACTATCTTTATTCGCTGTAGGAAATATGGGATGAGGTTGGTGAGAGTGATGAGCAACGAGACAAAATGCTTCTTCAGTTAGAACAGGAATGCTTGGATGTGTACAAGAGAAAGGTTGAGCAGGCTGCGAAATCAAGGGCACAGTTACTTCAAGCTTTGTCAGATGCTAAGCTTGAGCTTTCCAGTCTTCTATCAGCACTTGGAGAAAAGAGCTTTGCTGGAATTGTTAGTAACTACTTGACCATGTCTTATATTGGCAATACACAACACATAAACTTCATATTTTACTTTTGTATTCTTATGCATAATTTTTCTCCTTTCACAGCCTGAGAACCCTTCTGGAACTATCAAAGAACAGCTTGCAGCTATAGCACCTGTTCTTGAACAGTTATGGCAACAAAAGGAAGAAAGAATTAAGGAGTTCTCTGATGTACAGTCCCAGATCCAACAAATATGTGGAGAGATAGCTGGGAACTTAAACCTTAGTGATGCTTCGCCTGCTGTTGACGAGTCTGACCTCTCCCTCAAGAAATTAGATGAATATCAATCTGAGCTACAAGAACTTCAAAAGGAAAAGGTAACTCTGTTATAATGTGCAATAGCGATGTATCAGTTAGTCACAAATTGGGAAACGCTGCCTGCTTTCGTTCACAAAACATGTCATTGAGAATTTTTTCCATTGCGCTTTGTTTGGCAGAGTGAGAGATTGCACAAGGTTCTTGAATTTGTGAGTACTGTGCATGATCTATGTGCTGTCCTTGGCATGGACTTCTTCAGTACTGTAACGGAGGTACATCCAAGCCTAAATGATTCTACTGGTGTTCAATCCAAGAGCATAAGTAACGACACCCTAGCTAGGTTGGCCAAGACTGTCTTAACGCTGAAAGAAGATAAAAAACAGAGGCTGCAGAGGGTAATGCCTTTAGAACATTTTTTTGCTTAATTTTTATTTGGACAATGGCTGTTAACTATATTTCAATGTTAGTAATTTTGGTATATTTTGGCTATTTACTTGCTAATCATGTGTCTGTTTTCAAGAAATCACCATCAATTCTGACTTTGACACCCCAAATTGATAATGCCTTCAAATGTTTTGCATACATTTCTGGTTGACTTTTAATATAGTGCCATTTATTTTGACTTCGACCTGGATTTGTCTTGCAGCTTCAAGAATTAGCTTCTCAATTGATTGATCTTTGGAATCTAATGGACACTCATCCAGAGGAAAGGAGTCTATTTGACCATGTTACCTGTAATATGTCAGCTTCTGTTGATGAAGTCACTGTCCCTGGTGCTCTTGCTTTGGATCTGATTGAGCAGGTGCTGAAGACCTTCTTTAAGATTACAGATTTGGACTCCAAATATGATATTAACTGTTTTATTTTTTGTTAATGCAGGCTGAAGTGGAAGTTGAGAGACTTGATCAGCTGAAAGCCAGTAGGATGAAGGAAATTGCTTTCAAGAAGCAAACGGAGCTTGAAGAGATATTTGCCCGTGCTCATGTAGAAATAGACCCAGATGCTGCACGGGAGAAGATTATGGCATTGATTGATTCAGGAAACGTTGAACCAGCTGAATTACTGGCTGACATGGACAATCAGATAGCAAAAGCAAAAGAAGAATCTTTAAGTCGAAAAGATATATTGGACAAGGTTGAAAAATGGATGTCAGCATGTGAAGAGGAGAGTTGGCTTGAAGACTATAATCGGGTATTTGTAATTTCCCTTTCTACATTTTTTCTTGTCGAGTCTGAATGATTGGTTGTGCATAGTCTTGGTGAGATAGTGTATCTGGTCTGAATTGTGGTAACAGCAGTTGTAAATTGTTAGCTGGAGTCAGCATTCATTCATCTTTATTGTATAATTTGCTTTTCCCAGTTTCAGTAATTAGTTATTTCATAAGATAATTGAAATGTTTCATGCCTGTTTCAAAAAATAGGCAGATTTTAGCTTTAGCTTTGCTACGAGTTACGGTGATTACATAAAATGGTTGCATAATCTTTCCTCATTTGGATTACAATTTTTCTGACACAATTACACACCCTTGTAAAACAGGATGATAACAGGTATAATGCAAGCAGAGGTGCACACTTAAACCTCAAACGTGCAGAGAAAGCTCGGATATTGGTCAACAAAATTCCAGGTATTTGCTGAAGAAATTACAACCATCATCAAATACTGTTATCATTTCAATCTGCTGTCAGTGCATGCAAGACAAACGTTACCACATTATTGGGATAATTTTGTTTCTTTTGGTGAAATTGCAGCTTTGGTCGATACATTAGTTGCTAAAACTCGTGCATGGGAAGAAGATCATGGCATGTCATTCACATATGATGGCGTTCCTCTTCTTGCCATGTTAGATGAATATGCCATGCTCAGGCATGAACGGGAAGAGGAAAAACGGAGGATGAGGGTAAGTTTCACCAATAAGATGATTAGGATGAGTCGTTGTCAGATTGATTTAAGCACTTGATAACAAGACCACAACTCGGCGAGAAAAAAAAAAATAATATATATATATATATANCTCTCGCCATCGTCTCTTGATCTCCGCATTCCCGAGATCTGCTTCTTTCTCATTCCTCTACATTCGATTCTTTCTCTCTCATCTTTCCTTTTCAATCTTTACATGTGACTTCACCCTCAGGTTCCCTTTCTTTCGTCATTTTCTTGTTACTTGCTGCTGATCGTTTGGTTAATTTAGCTTTCGTTTCGCCGAGACTTTCCATTATGTTGTTATCGTTAGCTTAATTAGCTTGCCCTGCATTGGATTATGGTATATCGCATGTGATGGATGGAACTTAATTTGTTTGGAGATTTTTTTCCGCACTTTTTTTTGCCTTAAAATAATGATGAACCATTATTATTTATTTTCTTAAAAAAGACAATTATTAATTATTGCTCTTATTTGCTTAGAACCTTTTTGGCTTATTTTTCTGAAGATCGCTTTTTTAATTCGTTAGTTTAACTTTTGGGATGGGTGATTCGGGTTACTGGAATTAACAGTTGACCGCAATGGATTGTGGGTTTGCATTTATCATGCTGCAGTTGCATTTGCTTTCTTCTACACAGCACATGTCTGTTTCTCTCTTGATCTTCGTAGAAGAGGTGTTTATCTCTCTTTGATGGGAGGTGAAAATATTTCTTGTGTAATTTTTTTAATTTTTTTTGGGTGCAGGCGGCTAGGTTGCTTTGGAACATCAATGGCAGTGACAGAGGCTCAAAATCCTCTTCTTGGGGAAAACACCTGTGGTTCCTTGTTAAAAAAGCTGCAGGTTACTATCTTCATTCAGATTTTCATTTTGGTCACTGAAATGAAAATGTGCACGGTCTGCAGAATAGTATTGGAGAATGTCTGGGAAAGATTAATTTTAAAGATTTCAGATGTTTAAATTTCGGTTGTAAGTTTGGGACGGTGGCTAAAATTTGTAAAGAGCTTTTTCTCTAAAAAGTTAAGCTGATTTTACAAATTTGAAAAGTTGTAGCTCATGAATAAGGTAAAATATGTTTTTTTATCCTAAAATTCCTAAACTATTAAATACGTCCTCCAAAAGTTTTTCGTATTATTTTTGTTCCTTTAAAATTTAAACATATTCTTTTAGTTCTTGTGTGTAATCATAATAATAGATGGAAAACTTATGTGGATAACTATATTTTAGTTATATATTTATCAAAATTATTTTTAATGTTTCATATGTTAAAATTATCATTCACATAAGTCTGCTGTCTATTTTTGTTAGAAATAAAGACCTAAGAAATATATTTAAATTTTAGAAGGACGAAAATCATACGAAAAAATTGTATACGGGTTTAATATATTTGACGGGGATACCGAACACATTTTACTCTTACAAATATTTTCCAATAGTTTTTATTTTTGTTTCTCCTAGTTGGAATTGATTATTTTAAAACCCATTTTTTAGCAAACTTACCTAAATAGAAACTGTTTCTGTTTACAATTGATTTCGAAAACAATCGAATGTAAGTATAATTTAGACTATCTTTATTCGCTGTAGGAAATATGGGATGAGGTTGGTGAGAGTGATGAGCAACGAGACAAAATGCTTCTTCAGTTAGAACAGGAATGCTTGGATGTGTACAAGAGAAAGGTTGAGCAGGCTGCGAAATCAAGGGCACAGTTACTTCAAGCTTTGTCAGATGCTAAGCTTGAGCTTTCCAGTCTTCTATCAGCACTTGGAGAAAAGAGCTTTGCTGGAATTGTTAGTAACTACTTGACCATGTCTTATATTGGCAATACACAACACATAAACTTCATATTTTACTTTTGTATTCTTATGCATAATTTTTCTCCTTTCACAGCCTGAGAACCCTTCTGGAACTATCAAAGAACAGCTTGCAGCTATAGCACCTGTACTTGAACAGTTATGGCAACAAAAGGAAGAAAGAATTAAGGAGTTCTCTGATGTACAGTCCCAGATCCAACAAATATGTGGAGAGATAGCTGGGAACTTAAACCTTAGTGATGCTTCGCCTGCTGTTGACGAGTCTGACCTCTCCCTCAAGAAATTAGATGAATATCAATCTGAGCTACAAGAACTTCAAAAGGAAAAGGTAACTCTGTTATAATGTGCAATAGCGATGTATCAGTTAGTCACAAATTGGGAAACGCTGCCTGCTTTCGTTCACAAAACATGTCATTGAGAATTTTTTCCATTGCGCTTTGTTTGGCAGAGTGAGAGATTGCACAAGGTTCTTGAATTTGTGAGTACTGTGCATGATCTATGTGCTGTCCTTGGCATGGACTTCTTCAGTACTGTAACGGAGGTACATCCAAGCCTAAATGATTCTACTGGTGTTCAATCCAAGAGCATAAGTAACGACACCCTAGCTAGGTTGGCCAAGACTGTCTTAACGCTGAAAGAAGATAAAAAACAGAGGCTGCAGAAGGTAATGCCTTTAGAACATTTTTTTGCTTAATTTTTATTTGGACAATGGCTGTTAACTATATTTCAATGTTAGTAATTTTGGTATATTTTGGCTATTTACTTGCTAATCATGTGTCTGTTTTCAAGAAATCACCATCAATTCTGACTTTGACACCCCAAATTGATATTGCCTTCAAATGTTTTGCATACATTTCTGGTTGACTTTTAATATAGTGCCATTTATTTTGACTTCGACCTGGATTTGTCTTGCAGCTTCAAGAATTAGCTTCTCAATTGATTGATCTTTGGAATCTAATGGACACTCATCCAGAGGAAAGGAGTCTATTTGACCATGTTACCTGTAATATGTCAGCTTCTGTTGATGAAGTCACTGTCCCTGGTGCTCTTGCTTTGGATCTGATTGAGCAGGTGCTGAAGACCTTCTTTAAGATTACAGATTTGGACTCCAAATATGATATTAACTGTTTTATTTTTTGTTAATGCAGGCTGAAGTGGAAGTTGAGAGACTTGATCAGCTGAAAGCCAGTAGGATGAAGGAAATTGCTTTCAAGAAGCAAACGGAGCTTGAAGAGATATTTGCCCGTGCTCATGTAGAAATAGACCCAGATGCTGCACGGGAGAAGATTATGGCATTGATTGATTCAGGAAACGTTGAACCAGCTGAATTACTGGCTGACATGGACAATCAGATAGCAAAAGCAAAAGAAGAATCTTTAAGTCGAAAAGATATATTGGACAAGGTTGAAAAATGGATGTCAGCATGTGAAGAGGAGAGTTGGCTTGAAGACTATAATCGGGTATTTGTAATTTCCCTTTCTACATTTTTTCTTGTCGAGTCTGAATGATTGGTTGTGCATAGTCTTGGTGAGATAGTGTATCTGGTCTGAATTGTGGTAACAGCAGTTGTAAATTGTTAGCTGGAGTCAGCATTCATTCATCTTTATTGTATAATTTGCTTTTCCCAGTTTCAGTAATTAGTTATTTCATAAGATAATTGAAATGTTTCATGCCTGTTTCAAAAAATAGGCAGATTTTAGCTTTAGCTTTGCTACGAGTTACGGTGATTACATAAAATGGTTGCATAATCTTTCCTCATTTGGATTACAATTTTTCTGACACAATTACACACCCTTGTAAAACAGGATGATAACAGGTATAATGCAAGCAGAGGTGCACACTTAAACCTCAAACGTGCAGAGAAAGCTCGGATATTGGTCAACAAAATTCCAGGTATTTGCTGAAGAAATTACAACCATCATCAAATACTGTTATCATTTCAATCTGCTGTCAGTGCATGCAAGACAAACGTTACCACATTATTGGGATAATTTTGTTTCTTTTGGTGAAATTGCAGCTTTGGTCGATACATTAGTTGCTAAAACTCGTGCATGGGAAGAAGATCATGGCATGTCATTCACATATGATGGCGTTCCTCTTCTTGCCATGTTAGATGAATATGCCATGCTCAGGCATGAACGGGAAGAGGAAAAACGGAGGATGAGGGTAAGTTTCACCAATAAGATGATTAGGATGAGTCGTTGTCAGATTGATTTAAGCACTTGATAACAAGACCACAACTCGGCGAGAAAAAAAAAAATAATATATATATATATATACACATATATATCAGCTTGGCCTATATCTGTTCACTATTCTATATTTGTTGAACATATTGTGGTATTCAGAAGTCATAACATCTGGCTGGACTTTGCACTCTGTAGGATCAGAAAAAGCACCACGAGCTACGAAACACAGAACAAGAAGCCATCTTTGGCTCAAGACCCAGTCCTGGTAGGCCAGTTAGTTCTGGTAAGGTAGGAGGTACTCGTGCTAATGGAGGAGCTAATGGTACACCAAACCGACGGCTGTCACTTAATGCTCATCAAAACGGAAGCAGGTCCACAACAAAAGATGGAAAAAAAGACATCAGACCAGTTGCTCCTGTGAATTATGTGGCCATATCAAAAGAAGATGCTGCTTCCCATGTTTCTGGTACCGAACCAATCCCGGCATCACCCTAATAATGAGATCTTCATTATCAACCCTACAATTTCATCTTTGTAGCATGATCAAATACTAGTTACTGCTTTAGGAATTATAATATGGAGTGACAAGTAATTAGAGAGGAACTGTTTTGAGCTGTGTATGTTCAATTTGCCATTTGGAGGTTTTCTCAATACATGTGCCCTTTAATATGAAAATATAGTGCTATTCTTGCCTTTCTCCAAACCCTGGCTCCTCCTATTCATCGGTTTCTTTCACTTTCGTCTGAAACTGTGTTTGATATGCACACCTACCGAAAGAATGAAAAAAAAATGCCGAAGCAACAAATGGTTCTTTCTCACCCAATGCCTCTCCATCAGAATGAATGACAGAACATGATTCCAACCTGAGAGGATTACCTTTTTTGAATGTAATTCAGTGTTGAAGTTAACATGCATAATACTAGATTTTTATGTGAGAAAATTACTATTAAAGTCCATGTTGTAGAAACATTAGCAAATGAAGATGAAGACATTCATTAAAATAATCCTGTACTTTTTATGTTTCCGTAATTTCACTTTTTGAAAAAAAATGTTAAATAAAATTATTTTTATTAGATTAAAATTATTTAACACTGCATATCAAAATACCACAGCATTCACATTCTTTAAATTATGTATTAATTACCTAATTATGTTAAAATCTCGCTCGAATAAAAACACTTACAATAATTTCTCTAAAATATTAGGTACCCACAGTATGAGTAGCTTTATATCTGGTGATTTATTAGGAGAGTTTCAAGTATTTAGTTCACGAGGTCCCCCTCTACCTCATAGGCGATATTCCTTTTTATGATGTATCATTTTCTGCTATTATATTCACATTTACTTGTTCAAAAGGTCAAGGTTGAACAGTTTTCGGTTTTTAATTCCAACCTGAATACAATCTTCTTAGATTCATTGCCACCTACTCCGATAAGATTTTTTTTTTCTTTTTTTAATTTGTGCAAGAGTTTTAAAGGCTTTTTTTAAAGAATAAAAAAATTAAATTGTCTTTCTCCAAGATAGGCTAATTATGATTTTCTTTTCCAAGAAAATAGCTACTTAATCTCCTATTATATATCATGATTTTTTCCTTTTCAATAGTATGATTTGATTCCCAGTGATCAACTCTTTATTCTCTCTTTTTAGGAGATCCATGTATTTTTAAAGATTATACTTTCTTATTTATAACTGAGAAACTCAATTGCTACTTTTGAGAACTGTCTTTACATTTACTCCTGAAAAATTGTATCAGGTTAGGTTTAATGTCTCAATAGATCCCTATTTTTGTTCAGAATTTGAAATAGGTCCCTTTATTTTTTGGCGTCTCAATTGGGTCCTTATTTTTGTTAATTTGATGCAAATAAATCCTTTCCGTCAATTTCATCAAACGGCGTTAATGAATGTGTGACGTGGCCTGAGGACAGTATTGACACGTGTAAGGCCACGTCACACATTCATTAACGTCGTTTGATGAAATTGACGAAAAGGATTTATTTGCATCAAATTAACAAAAATAAGGACCCAATTGAGACGCAAAAAAATAAAGGGACCTATTTCAAATTCTGAACAAAAATAGGGACCTATTGAGACATTAAACC